CACGTGATTTTAATTGGATGTCATCACCACTATATATATATATATATATATATATATATATGCATATGAACATATCAATAGTTCTAAAATTATCAAATATATTAATTGTAAATAGGTGATTTTTAGTCAGCACTATAAAACAATAATGATGAAATTAATATAAATCAAAAACATTACTAAGAAACTCAAAAATCAAAATAAATTTTTTTCATTACCAGTCCTTGTTGTCATCATTTGTCGCCACAGCACCCAAACGCGTTAGGGATATTCCATCTACGAGACAAGATCCAGACGTTGATGTCAAACTAACTAGTAACTAAGCAAGATCTGTTAAGGGTTAGGAGTTGAATGCTTAAACCCATAATGTCTAAACTCCTACTGCCTTTCACTGTCTGCAGCCAGTTGTGTGAAGGCAGTTACCCTTAATATTTAGATACAACCTTAAAGTAGAAATAAACCATCATAAGTTTCTGCAATGTAAAACTCCCAACATCCAACTTTTTTATGAGATTCACAAAAAGCCAAAAATATACTCATAGTAGAAATGGACCATCCTATATTTCTACAAGACTCACAACCTCCACCATTTTATTTAATTATGTTAAGCAGAACTAAAACCCTACCTTAATAGTTCTTATTCCCCATCCTCCTCCCTGATATATCTAATAAGTGGTTATCGTTTGTGCCAAATGACTGATCGAGTCCCATCACCACTAAATATGATCTAATTATGTATTTATATTTAATTTTGACCTCTGCGTTTCTGTCAGTATATAATTCAATTGTTATTCAATAGACTTTCACAATGCATGCTATCAGCATATAATGTATAATAATAAATTAGTAAACAACGATTTATAAGCCTAATGAAGTGATTTTTTGTTAGGGGGGGGACATATTACATGTTTCGACAGAACATTGGCCTGTATTCTTCAGGTCTTCGAGAATATGGAAAAATGTTCTGTCGAAACATGTAATAATGTTCCACCTAAACTAAACCACTTCATTTTACCTAAATATCGTTATTTTGCAGATTTATTATTATATTAACATAATGTGCTTCCATACTTATTATTATATTAACATAATGTGCTTCCATACTTATTATTATATTAACATAATGTGCTTCCATACTTATTATTATATTAACATAATGTGCTTCCTTACTTATTATTATATTAACATAATGTGCTTCCATACTCAAGTGTATAATATATGATATGTGAACAAAAAGTTTGTAATATCAATAAGGATTTCTGGGTAAATGACTGTTACTTAATATATTAATTATTTTATATTATATTATATATTATTTTATTATCGTTTATAAAAATTGCTAACACAGTGTTTAAGTAATCAGTTGAGACTCTTAAATCGTTATGTTAACAGGTGTAACCTTGTACCAGCCAGCAGGAATCACCAACATGTCACACATCGTAGCAATGTTCGATTCGGGTGCTGGAGTGGAAGTTCTTTCTGATAACGGCTTCATGACGGCGCACGTTTACCTACCCGTCAGCTTCAGGGTTTGTGTATATTTTTCAAATGGGGTTTCTACTCTGATTATAGCACAATAGAAGCATTGTTGCTTTTCTTTCCTGTCATATAGAGAAGTGTTCCAAGCGGTAAGTCTGAAGGCTTATAACGATTAAAACCGGGTTTCGATACCCGAGGTGGACACGGAACAGATAGACCATTGTGTAGCTTCGTGCTTAATTACAAACAAACACAAGGAAGGTTGTATTAATACACTAATACGAGGCAAACTGTTGTCGTGGTTTCATGCTAAACAGGAAATTATATTTTACATGTTAAACTTGTAGAGAACTGGAAGCACAAAACATGTAGGTTGCTAATACATGTATATATATAATTAGTTTTACTTTCTTCAGTTTTTTAGGTCTGTTCAGAAGATAAATTATTTTCTGAAATTGATTCAGTTTAGGGTCAAAGGATATTACAAATCTCTCTTTCTCTATGTAACTATCGTAGGAAAAATACTGTTGTGTATTTTAACGGGGGTTTTGCCAAATACTTTGTTTCCTTAGTATTTTCATAGTAGTTGAAAGATAAGAATGAAATTTTGTATTTTTTTCCATGACACAAAAACATCAGTATTTATTTTGATAGATTCAAAACCCTAAAATATGATTTATTTTGGATCAATCAGTAATCGAACAACAACAGTTCTGGGCAATTTTACCACTTAACTGTGTTTTAAATTTATGATGGCCGGTATGGTCTGGTGGCTAGGGCACTCGATTTGCAATCTAAAAGTCTTGAAATCTAATTCCGTCACTGAACATTCTCGCCCTCTCAGTCGTGGGGGCGTTATAATGTGACGGTCAGTTCCACTATTTGTTGGTTAAAGAGTAGTCCAAGAGTTGATGGTGGGGAATGTTGACTAGCTGCCTTCCCTCTAATCTATCACTTCAAAATTAGGGATGGCTAGAGCAGGTTAGTTGTTTAATTAATTCAAATTTAACAGATAAATCTAAATTTATTTCACCTGGAGTTTATCTCAATAAAAGCTTGATGGTTCCTTAGAGAAATACAAATAGTTCAATTTTAACAGCTCTCTCTTACATCGAGCTCCCCAATGCCGTAGAAACCATTTGTCATAGTTTTACTTCTACCGTAGATTAAAACAGGTAATTTATTTCAAACAGGCCTATTTTCTTTCTCGCTTCCTCTAAATAAATCAGCTTACATGATGTCTTAAAGTGTTCTTGACAAATTTGGCATAATCTGATCTTATGTGAACACTACGACAGTAGCCCAGTTAACTCTTTACTAACTCTTCTCCACGACTAGTGTGTAGTACTCTCATTTTGATTAGGTTTCGCAAGTAATGCTGTTGGTTATGTGGCTATTAAAACAGTTAGTATGTTCTATATACAAGAATAAGACATTGTATTAATATTTGACATTCAAATTTGTAACACACGATACTTCAGAATTAGTAGGGAATCTTATTGTTTCTATATTTAACAGAATATTACAGGAGGGTTATTAGGCAAGTGGTCTCTTGATGTAGTAGACGAATTTACAGGACCAGATGGAGAAGTTTTGATACAAGGGGGTGATAAAGTATCAACAGAAGCAATTAATCGACTATTCGGAAATAGATGTAAGTTGTTCTGGAACATGTCTATTTTATTGATCTGAAAATACATTGTTATCATTACACTGTAAGGCTAATGAGATAGTTTTCAATCTGTTATAATGTAACAATGTACTTCATATGTTCCTGACTAGTTTAAAGTGGAAAAACTTTGTTAGACAATCGCATGTATCAATCGTGTTTTCTTTTGTAAAGTTCATAAACTTGAGAAAAAAGACATTAAATAATTTGAAAATATAAAGAATATCATTTTTAACATTTTTCAAAAATGTTTTTGGTTGTGACTAATGATCATTTAAGTTATAATAGACTTAGTTACCTATGTTTGGTGAAGCGGAATATTAGTTCAAGTGGATGCAGTCCATTAACAACGACTTCCGAGAACAGTCGTTTGTACTTCTGAAATTTGTTTTCAATACAGAAACAAAGTGAATTTTTGTTCTGTTTCATTTTACATCAAAGTATTTTTAACATAAAATTTTAAGTTTAAGTAATTGGGTACTAACTTAAATGAACAGAATTTTCTCAAGATACAAAATTAAGTTTATACTTATTAAATTTCGTGTAATAGACAAGGAATGTACGAAATATAAAATTATGAATTTTTATTGATGAAATGTGGTGTGTTAGTCTAGATATGACAAAAAAATATATAAAAACGTGATTTGAAACGTGTAAAATAACCCTTTATAATAAGTAGCAATTACGTTTCATCAGTAAATTGCAATGTTAATTGCAATGTAATAAATTTTTAATGATAATTAGCGATCTCTGTAAGTTTAAACTGCTCAGTCAACCTTCAAACCAGCTGATCCAGTATGTTTACACCAAGCCTGTTGCTTGTATTGTTTCTTTATTTTGGATATCATTCATAAAAACAGCATTGATGTAAAACTTCGACACTGCCTAATTCATTTACCAATGATCAAATAATAGGCATAAAATAAAATGTGGTTAACCAAAAACTAGTTTAGTGTTAAAAGGTCACGTGCCAGATACCCTCAAATTAAATTAAAAAAAAAAAACAACAACAAGTGCATGATGTCGATAATAAAATGTTTTAGTGAAATATATTTTTATGCTTATCAGCTGTATAAACGCTATTGTAGACGTTTCACCCAAAGATAGTAACTGTATACCATATATATCGTTTTGAATCTGATGTAGGGAGACTAGCAGAAACTGAAAAGAAAAACATCGGTAAGTCGTTATTCCACCATGACGCCTTCTCATTTTCTCATTACGACGACCAACAAGGCTACACTCCAGAAGTTAGAGAATCTTTGGACATACTTACGAACATCAGTTTGGATAAGATCAACATGGTAATTATAACGACATTTGATAATGAATCTAAACCTATTATAGAAAAAACTGCTTCTTGAAGACTTGAAAGAATCTACTGGAGTTTCTTAAAATATATTCGTAGCTAATAATGGCTGGAAACGGCTTGAATGGGTAGTAAAGAAAAACTTTAATATAAGTTTAATATAACGGCAAATGTACAACGTTTCGAGTACCTGATGATGACAAAACCTTGTCGAAACGTTGTACATTTGCTGTTATGTTAAACTTATATTAAAGTTTTTCTTCAT